TTATTGTAAAAATTTTAAACAGAAGTTCCTCGTTTAAATAAACTCGACAAGGAAACTAAAACAACAAACAAGTATTGGCTAAAACTAACATTACCTGTATCTATTTAGAACTGCATTGTAAAACAATGCACTGTGTTATGTCCTGTTTCAGTTCACCAAAGAGGAAAGCAACTACGTTAATTGTTTGGCCATTTAAAAAGCACCTGCGCCATAAAACTAGCACAGTATCTAGGTTTTCGGCATTACGGTGATTGGTTCTTTTGCAAGAGCTCCGCTGAAGCGTTTACTGTCATTATCCTTGGGCAATCAAGCTAAAGCAATCTGAAACATTGCTCGACAGTTTCTGAGGTCGGACTGAATATAACGATTATCTAAATCCTTCTGTGCTTCGGTTGTGCTAAGACCTGGTGCAACGATGATCCATCTTTTAACTCTTATCATTGTGACATTAGTATGTGGAGGATGCAGGGGAAGTTACTTCATCAAGGATCCAGAAGATACACTAGCCGTAGTGGGAGACAATGTGACATTCAGTTGTACAGTCAATGTCACGACATGTGACCTTGTCGCGTCTCTTGAATTCCGAAATTGTCGGCTTTATTGGACGCGTAAGCGCAAGTACGGTTCATCTAGGAGCATCGTACCTTTTTACAAGGGTCGGGACAGATTTCAAATAGACTCGCCAGATGAATCAGAGAGCACTTTTCGTATACAAAATGTTCAAAATGATGATTTCGGTATGTATGGGTGCACAAGTGATTCTTTCGTATCGAATGTCAGACGGTCCGCTATTAGTCGGTTTGCGACACTCATCATCGTAGAACCAATCAACACAGAGGTCCAACCGCTTCGTTTGAGGCGACAGGAAGGCCAAGCAGCTTCTTTTCGCTGTCAAGCTCAGGCAAACTTGACTGACTCATACGCTTGGTTTCTAAACACAAACGGCCAATGGAATGAGATACCGGACTCTGACAACTTCCAGCTCTCCGAAGATAAGGCCAACCTCACCATTCAGTATTTAAGGGCGGGATATTGCAGTCAGATTGCATGCGAGGTCATCAGGGGTACAACATCAATAACGAGGCAGAGGCAAACGGCCCTATTGATAGTTGACCCCAGAGAGGATCTTACAACCACAGACGATGCAAACTCGACGTCTACCGAGACGTCGACGGGAAAATCACCAAACAAGACGTCCCTGGCAGCCGGGAGCGAACCCTGTATCTTCCTGGAATGTGAGACTGGACTGTCCACATCTCAATCCATCCTCCAATCAACTGTCCTACCCGATTCTGACGATACCATTGGCAACATTCCCTGTGCATGCTCTGAGTCTGAGAACGCAACCCTCCTAATCCTATCTATATCGGGATGGGCTGTCAGCGTCATGTTGGTCTTTATCGCAGTCCTCGTGTACCTCTTCGTTTTCAAAGGCCGTTATCAAGAAATTCCACGCCCAAGCCGAAAACACCGTAAGACTGAAGACGAGGCTAAAGGTTCCACTCACGGCAGGGTGGAACATACGTACATGGATCTGCAACCAACGAAGCCTGGAGGAAGACGTCATTCCTTCGTGACTGGAGAAGATGCTTCAGATGCCCATGGCCACAGGGTAGCTGATTCGTTCATTCATCTTCTACCAACTGGAGACGAGGCTACTGACGGGAGGGAAGCGCATACATACATGGATATGGGGAGTGGACAGTCTCCAAGGTGTCACCCCCGTGCGACTGGAGACGAGGCTACAGGTTCCACTGACGGCGGGACAGTACATACATACATGGATGTGCCGACCCTGGAGAGTAGAAGCTTCTCAAGTTGCGAACCCCATGCGACCGGAGACGAGGCTGCAGGTTCCACTGGCGAGATAACACATTCATACATGGATGTGCCAGCGACGGAGGGTGGACAGTCCCCAAGGTGTGAGCCTTGTGCGACTGAGTAAATACCTCGGAAGATTTTTGTTCATCAAAGGGCACAATTTGGAGAAGAAACTTTTGGGGGTGGGGGTGGGGGCTCCCAAACGGCAGTTTTCATCGAGAGTAAAGTTTGGTATGCAGACCAAAGAAAACACGAATGATTGTACATAATGCCATACAGCCTACAGCATAATCCTGATAAAAATCGCGTAGCCTCAGCTGTACTATTTTGCTTAGAAACTCATGTGACCCATATATTTAAAACTTATAACGATGGCATATAAATATGCAGTAGCTCTTGAGTCATAGAACACAGGAAGATGTTGTATACGGTAGATCATAACATGCTTAGCATTTAAACGCATGTACTCTATATATAGTTCATCGGACAGATAATTATAACGATTGTTTATTATGTAGCTATTGTTTAGACATTTTCCTCAGGCAATCACTAAACACATAAAAAGGGGAAAATATAGATTCATGTAAATGTTTGATTCATGTAACCCATAAAATTAATTGCAAAGACAGGGGCGGATCAATTGTGGTTTTTGTTGTGTCATTTGCCACAGAGTGAAAGGCTATGGTTGCCAATCAAGGCAGGAGGGGAAAAGAGAGTTTTCACCATGAAAAGTGGCGCAAGTCTCTAAATAGACCCTTTCATAAAATTGGTCACTGCTCAGTCAACCGTGAATGTAAGGACATGATCAGGGTGTCATTTTAAAGAGGAGATTCAACCCTAACTGAGGATATCTCCCTTTGATTCATACGTGCCCTACTTCTGTTCCAATTAGCAATAATATCTCGGGTTTTTTTTTAATCCACCCTGTACATTATAGTTTAAGAATGTAACATAGTCACTAAGCCTCTGTATATAACAGCAAGCAAAATCTTCCTAGCCCCGGAAGAAACAAAATTGCGATGAATCTTTGGCAAACAAAATTTGGTCAGAAAGCAAAACATTGGTGGTTTTCATTGTGTTGCTATTTTTGTTTGTAAAGGGTTTTCTCATGAACGGAACACATTGCAATTTGTGAGTTATAGAAGAATGTACATAGCCACTGCATTTAGAAAGTAAAATCTTTCTAGCACCTGAAGAGAAAAATATGGCGACGAATCTTGAGCAAACATTATGGTCAGAAAGCAAAACAATAATGGTATAAATTAGTAATTTGTGTTTGTAAGGGTTGCTTATAAACAGAACACAACGTGAACATTTGAAAAGAGTGTACATTACCACTGTATATAGCAAGCAGAATCTCCATAGCCCCTAAAAATATATATCATGGCGGCGAATTGTTGGCAATGAAATCAGATAACTATAAGCTAATGCGCGATTTAATGGCGAAAGTATTGTTCTAGCTTTTGTTCAGATAGTCCACAACGGGGCATGTGCTTTGTACAATAGCTTGCACAATGGTTTCTCCATTGAAGGGGGCCTCCTGCATGGGCGTCGCGAGGGGGGGGGGGGGGGGCCAAGGGGGGCACATGCCCCCCCCCCCTCTGGAAAAGCAAAAAAAAAAAAAAAAAAGAGGCGCGAAGACAAAGTGGTGTACATTTAATGAGGGGGGGGGGCAAAATGTCCCTGCCCCCCTCTAAAACTGATAAATCGAGAATGTGTTGAGAAATACAAGCATTTTTTTGCAAATTTTTTTTGCCCCCCTCTAGAAAAAATCCTGGCGACGCCCATGGCCTCCTGTGTGTATCACGTGCCCAGATCCGTCTATACGGCAACCGGCATCACTTTTGTAACATTGAATAGCTTTTGCTTTAAACATTTACCAAATATTTTGCATATTTTATGAATAATGAATTCTCTTTATCTGGTCGTTTGCTTTATTGATCCTGTTTTGGTTTGATCTTAGATAAATAAGTATGTATTTCAATAAAAACGCTCCTGAGTTATTGCACAACGAAAACTTTTCGTTAAAGGACCTTTAATGCTCACTGTTTAAGAAAGGTGATGGAAGAAAAAAAATGTATCGTTTCGCATGAAATGCAGTAGACCTGTGGTTTTTAAAATAATAGTGAACACGTTCCTCTTTTTGAAAAAAAGGTGGAGGGCGAGCCATGCTATTTTGTCAGCTTGTTTGTTCGCATTTTAGCCATGGAATTTCCTCATCACAGTGAACCGAAAGGAAAACAAATCTTTGAGTTAAAAATACAGGGAGGTACAGGGGATGTGGCGCGCACAAGACCTATGGAAGGGCATATATCCCAGTTCAGCCTGCCGTCGATCGGATATTTCGGGAAGTCTCTTAACACAAACAACACTCACAGTCAATTATTTTCGGGCTGAATGCTTTATTCTTCCATTGTTGATGATTTAATAGCAAAATTGCCTCAAATCACATAAATAAAAGGGATTTTAAAGGGAATGTACAACATTTGCTTTTGCTGCAATTTTCAGAAATAAATGGATTTGCAAAAAAAAAAGTTATAGCAAATATTGTTAAACTGACATGTTTCACGTTTTGGGCTTGTAGATGCTGAAAAAAAACCCAAGAAAACCAATCATTTTCTTGTAGTCTGGTTCCCTGACCCTACTTAAGATGAAACGGAGCAATCTGTAGACTTTGGGGAATTGTACGGTCAGAGAATCAGTCTGGCAGGCCTGTACCTCTTCACAGGTGAGTAATGAAGTGCAAAGAAAGTGCGGAATAACTAAATATGAAAAACTAGGAGCAGTTTTGAAATAAGCCAGTTTTCTCCAACGCTGGTCGACCGACCAGCGTTGGAAAAATACAATTTTTCTTGCAAATGTCAGCACACCAGGAGCCACAATTTTACAGGATGCTTTAGACTGTCATTCCCTAACAATCCAGTAAGGTATTTCGTGATAATTTGATCATTTCGTTTTTTGATGCTTGCAAATGTTGTATCTTCCCCTTAAGTATATATCATATTAATTTTATACGCGTGGATTCGGTTACACATCCTAAATAAGGCCCATCTCAGGTCAACAACCGTGCAAAAATGTGACTCAGTTTTTTCGTCTCCTAAGGGGTCAAATGTCAAAGTGCAAATGTCACCACATTACGCCGAACAATGCTTTTTTTTTCTCTCAGAAAACTTCACTTGCAGGTCACACGCAAGCTGCGTTTTCCCTGCACTTTTCTTCAAAAGACTTTCCCTTAAATTTTGCCCAAACTGGATGACCCAATCACGTTGCTAGCTGTAGAGCTTCATGCAGATTTGTCCAAAGTCGCGAACCAATCACGTGGCTGCCTTAGCGCACGCTGCGTCACTTTCAAAATGGCGGCGTTCTACACTAAACTTAAACATTCTGTCGCGTAAATTCAGTCATACAATACAGCACAAGAGGTGAGTCTACCAATAAACGACTGCCTATTAGTACATTCCATTACGGTGCAAAGAAATTAGTACCGTGGGTCAACCAGTTATTTGCAAATCGGTAAAATGTGGGATAAATAACTCGGAAAGCAACATTGTTACACGATAATTGTTTGCACTTTACATGTGGTCAGCCTGTTTGAGGTTTGTGCTTAGCCCACGTTGGACGACGTCTTTATTGCCGGTGCGTACAGCGGAGGCTAGTTTGTGCTTTTGTTCATCAAAGATACGTATGATAGCACCCTCATATGCATTTATTGTTAATTTTTTTTTTTTTAAAGATGGCCGGCGAATGCAATCGATTTGTTGACTGTTAGTGTTATTCCTGTAAGTGTTAGACCGTATTATTATCGAGGGAAAACTGTTTTCTTTGCAAATATTCCAAACTAAGTTAATAACCTTCTTACTAAGTCTTCATGAAGATTCAGGCGAAAGAGCGCTGGAAGGATTAGTACGGACTTAGGCCAACTATGTGAGTACAGTGCATTCATCTTTTTTATTTTATTCTACCACACTTTCTTGTATCACACTTTCCTAACTTGTGACCAAGTTAAGTATCAACTCAAGAAGTAGATTTCTTCAGTCGACATTATAACAAGCCTAGTGCTCAGATACCTGTATTGATCATCTTTCTTTTCACATTAGAACATGAACCATTTTTTTAATCTCAAAACCTAATGTCTCAAACTATTCGAGGCATCTATGTCATACAATTGCAGATTATAAATAGTTGTTCAAAATGGCAAATTAAACAGCTGTACACATGACAATGACTTCATATTTGCAGCAATGCAGTGCCAAACAAGATTCATATTTTTTCTTTGTCTAAATCACATTAGTCCACAATTCCAGGCTTAAGATATCAGTAGCACCAAGAGAGTCTAGCACCAACACTGAATATTGTTAAAACTGTACAAGGTTATAAATTAAAATACAAAAATACAGATTGGCCTCAGGTCAACTTTGTGAAGCCCTTTCTCTTAAAAATACAAGAAAATTGCTAGGGTAGAGCAACTAGCTTTTAAATAATACAATAACTTAAAATAACAGTTATGCTAATAATTTATTTATACACTGGTTACATTTTTCTTTGAAAAGGATGTTTTTTTTCATGTTTCCTTCCTTTTTGAGCAGCTGCAGCGATAGCTGCTTTTGTTTTTCATCGATTCATATTACTTTGAACTGTGAAGATACATTATTGACTGGAAAATTTTTGAAATGAAAGGAAAATGATCTGAAAGTTAATTATTTTAGCTTGAGTGGGTGATGATAGCAATTTCCTTCAATGTGTGCCAAGCTCTGAATAGACAAAATTCCTGACTCGAGCTGCTGGTCCGATTTTACTTAATGAAGGAGAAAATAAAGAATGAGTTTTAAATAGAAATTTCTTTAATCAGTGTTGCCCATCAATGAAGCCTATTCATCGAATGCCAGACTGACTAAAGGCGCGCTTTCCAATGAGTTTTGATTGAGCAAACATTTGGCTAAATTTAAGTTCCTCTAGTGAAATGTGTTTATGTATGCTGTACGTAATTCATTTTTCAAGGAAGTAAGATCACTATGGAAACTTAGGTCGTGTCTGAAAGTTGTGGCTGCGACTGGGAATAACACGCACGCCTATGGAAGCCACTGGCTTGTGGCTACAGCCACAACTCATAGACGCGTGTATGTTACTCCCGGCCGCAGCCGGTTGATTCGGGCATGGCCTTACTTCAACTAAGGCCAAGTTCGGGCAAGGACCATTAGTCGACTAGTGGTTGATTTATGACGTACCTTACGCCTGCGCACTGATAGCAACGTGCGAACGTCTCTAGTCAAACGCTGGTCAAAATGTCATCGCAAAACTTCTGGATCCTGGCTCTCTGCTAGCGTAATGAATGCGTGCGGCTATTGGTTACCAGCGAAGCAACCAACCCCAGTAGGTTGGTTCCAAATAGTCGACTAGCGAAGTCAACCATCGTCGACTAGACAGAGTTCAGGCAAACGTTAGTTAACCATTGGTCAACTATAGTCCTTGCACGAACTTGGCCTAAAGTGCATTTCCTGCTGTTATGTTATAGCGCCATCTATTGGTCACATAAATTATATTGCCATTAATTACAGCACAGTATTTTAAAAGAAGTGTGGTTGACTTTAATAGGGAGGTTTCGCAAGCGAACGGATACGCTTACACTTACGTTTAGCTATCTGTATCCGATTTTTACTTACGTGTAGCGAGCGAGATATGCGTTTCGTCTGCACGTTTAGCGGATAGTGAGTGGCGTATGGCATCATAACTGATGACGTATCCGTCGAACTAAACGTATCCGTTTGCATGGGAAACCTCTCTATATCTCTGTAGAAATTGTTTCATGTGACGACATTGGGCACTCTTCAGTTGCTAAAGTTATAGGTTTTGGAAAGGTTTTGGGGATTAAGAACCCAGAGGTGATTTTATCCCCAATCATCCTTCCTAGTCATGGGATTGAGCTTGAAGTCATAGTGTCCGAGCACAGTAAATTTTGTTTATTGACAGTCGGGTACCAGCTAAATGTCCATATGGATAAACCGCTTATGTCTGGTAACCAACTGGCTTCTGCCTCGCAGCTACATGATATTGGGACATCACACTTGTTTCCGGCCCTCAGCCAAAACTTTCCTTGTTGTAGTGAAACTTGGCTTTCCGTCGGTTCCAACGATTGCACTGCTTGTGAACACGCTGGGAGAGTTTCTTTGGTCCGCACACGAAGACACCAACATTAGACCTGAAAAATATCAAACCAAAAGAAAAGTTGTGTTTTGAAGAAGGAATTATCAAAAAGTCCATGTATCAGTGAAGTAAAGCTAGTGGAGTCCCCACAAGTCCATCACAAGTCATTCAGGCCTACCAGAAGTCACAGGCTGTTGACGGGAACTTTGACATAGTTGTTTAATAAGTCCAGTTACTTCAGACTTAAGAATAATGGACTTGTGATTTACTTGTGATCATGCAGATTTGTGATGGACTTGTGATTTACTTCTGAATGCAAATGTAAAAGTTGGCAAGGCTTCCACAACGAAACATTACCCAAACTTCTGTTCTGTGCCTTGACTGAAAGACTGCCCTCAACCCTCTTTTTGTCGCAACAAATCATCAATTTTTCTCTGAGACAGGCCCAAGCTTTTCAAGTCTTTCAGCGTCGCTTCACTGAAGATCTCCTTAAGGGTTTTATCTCTGTAATTGCCCAGACTGGGACATTGAGGGTAACAAAACATGCAACACAAAATCATAGCATCTGTACTCACTCTTTAGCTGACAAAACTCGCCAAAAGTTTCATGTTTTCTGTTTTAGCCTCTGAAGAAGAACTTGCTAAGTTCGCAACGTCAGGCCACATTAATTTTAAGATTTAAAAAGTTTCATGACTCAAAGACAAGGTCCTCAGTATTTCACCAGCCAAATTTGAGGGCTCAATTCAATTTTTAAAGGAGATTTTTTTTCTTCAATATTAGGAAACTGAGAGTGAAGCCAAGTGATTTGAATTTGAACCTTAAGACTAGACTGGCACATGTCCAACTTTTTGAAAAGATTGACCCTTCAGTAGTCAGGTGAAATGACCAAAGAGAATGTGTATAAATAGAGACTAGGTACTGGATGTTTCTTTTGACCATGTTGACACAGTTGATTGATGCAGTACTAAAGGGATGTTGGACTTGGGCTGGTTGTTTCATGTGCCAGTCTATTTTCTTGTGTTGCATGTTTTTACTATCTTATGGTTTTGGGACTCTCATACACAGTATTGAGAGTCCCAAATTTTCAGACTATGTAGTCCCCTACCACCAGTGTTGTAGTCGAGTCAATTACAGTTTCAAGTCCTCACAAGTACATCACAAGTCATCCAGGCTAATAAGTCACCGGCTATTCAAATAAAATACAACAGAGGTATGCCCTTGTTGTTCCTTCCTGTTATTTGTGACTGGACTTGTGAATGGACTTGTGCTTTACTTGCGATTAGACTTGAGATGGACTCGGCAATGGTCCAGTGGTTACGGTATTTGACTCATGTACAAAGGTACGTGGGCTCGAACCGTACCAGGAACAGGGTGTTTGTGCTCTTGGGCAAGACACTCAACTACAATTGCCTCTCTCCACCCAGGAGTATAAATGGGTAGCTGTGAGGGTAGAGGACCGATTGAGCGCTGATATCGGCTGCTGCATGGTCCCATGGCCTGATGAACGGGGTAATAATTGTAAAGCGCTTTGAGATGGTTGATACGATTGAAAGCGCTATATAAGCACAATAATTACACCACAACTTTTCATCCTGTTTTGGCACATCTCTCACTGACCCCACCTTTTCATTTACTTCACGTTTAAGAAACAACTCAAGTGAGCCTACCCTGGATTGCACACCATCACTTCACCGAAGAGCTGCTTGAGGTTGGGCCTGCCCCACTTCACCCGGCTGAAGACCAGCTTCTCAGCCGCGGTGCTACCCCGGAGGTCTCTTTGCTCGCCCCCGGTCACGTACAGCCTAAGGGTGAGCAAGTCCGGTCTGTTGGACTCCCAGAGCTACAAGGCAACACAGGAAAACACTTGTTTAAATCTCTACTCCACCAAGCACCAGGACTACACTTGTCTTCCTAAACTGGTGAGTGAAATAGTATAAGCGAAGGGTAGTCAAAACAGTTTTATTCCAACACATCCAAGTACATCACAAGTCAAGGCACAAGTAAATCACAGGACCAGCCACAAGTAATAAGGAATGAACAATAACAAAGTATGCAGTTGTCACAGTTTATTTCAAATAGCTTATGAACTTGTTAGGATGACTTGTGACTGACTTGTGAGGACTTTTTAGGAGTTGTGATGGACTACAGGGTGACCCATTCTGTGATGGACTACAGGATGAAAAATGACTCCTTTTACATAATTGGCATTTTCTCAGCAACCCAAAGTGCCATTTTCATGATTTTCTTTAGAATTTGAAAGAAAAAGCTCTCCACTTTAATCTGATACCCAAAACATAAAAATACACTGACCCCCCCCCTTTTTTTTAAAAGGCAAATGTTTTAGGGTTTCATTTTCTTGGGGTCACCCTGTAGACTGAGCCAAAGTCCAAACAGTTAGAATGCGCAATGGACTTTTACTCCTTCTGGTTAAGAGTGAGAGGGGGGAGCAGTGCACCCCTCTTTCGTTCTTCAACAGTTCTCACCTTTTGATGAAGCTGAGATATTGTCTCAGTGAACCATTCAAAGGTTTTGACGTGCCGGCACACCCATATGAAATACAACCTGCGTAGCTTGGTTCTCTTCGTTTGGGATTCTCTGTAAAAAAGAAAAACCCCATTAAATTAGTACAGAGGGGAATGTAGACTGGCCCATTCAGTGGGTCCAATGAAATGAAATTTTTGGGCCCAAATGAGGCCAATGGTGGGCCATGGTGGAGCCGAAGTGACAGATCATCAGTAAGCTAGTGAAATAGAAAGAGGGCTGTAGGCTGACCCTTAGTCTATGTAATAGACCCTGGCCCTGGCAAAGCCGACTATGGTCTATGATACTTGAACAGATTTGGCGATAAATTATGCAGCTAGACTGCGTATGACCGAAAAAACTGACCAATCAGCAGGGGCCTTCTATACGCGCGTAATTCTAGATCCCGTGTGCGTAAACATCACACCCACAATGAGTAGAATTTTTGTGCAGGTTGTTGTATTACAAAAACGCGGCATTGAATTGACCAATCACAATCTGATTTCGGAAATAAAATGACGTCACGCATGCTTAGATATATCAGACGTTAGACAGGAGACTGGGCTTCGTGGATAACGATGATACTCAGACTAGCTGACCCTCGGGGGCCAGCTGAAACAATGAATTCTGAATAATTTTTTAATTAAAAAAGTTAATACTCACAGAAGCCAATTTAAAACTGCTGCGAATGGTGTGACTCCTACACCACCCGCTATGCATATACTGGTGTCGTAGCGGAACACGTCTTCGCTGGCACTACCAAAAGGCCCATCGATGTAGAGCCTAAATGAAAACGAAAAACAAATGAAATTCTTGAGTCCACATTGTCAAAAGAAGTTGATAAAATCTGAGAGTTTGTCCTGGTGGTTAGGATTGTGACTCATGACCAGAGGGTCAGGGGTTTGAATCTAGCTGCTGGTCATATGTTGTGTCCTTGGGCAAGTCACTTCACCCCAACTTGCCTGTCTGCACTCGGGAGTGTACATAAATGGGTATCGGCATTAGCTGCGAAGTCACCTGCGATAGGCTGGCATCCCATACAAGGGAAATAGAAATATTCTCAGTTTTTTCATGCTAGGGAAACTGGAGATAAACGCCGGCTTGATGGCCCATATTGGCTCGCAATGGACTACTTTTCTAAACATGATGAGTGCTACTGATATCAAACATGTTAAATCCATTTACTTGTGAGCAAAACCTGCTGTCTGGTATTTTAATGGGCCCCACTCAGTCACAAAGATAAGAGTCCCTGTACTCGACAGCAATCCTTGCCTGAGATTGGCAATTGAATCAGTTAGGCCCATTAAAAGATGTTTAATTTCCTCTTGAAACAAGACTAGTGACCTTGTCTGGTCCTATTTACTTGGTCCAAACATAGTTCCATGGTCTAAAGTACTAAACAAACCACTGTTGCCTGATAGTAGCAGATTTAGAGAGGGGTGGGGTGCCTCCCTATTTGGCATTCAAACCAAACCACTATACATTTGTATTGTCATACAGTGGCAGATTTAGAGGGGGGGGGGCTGCCTCCCCCCTATATACACCCTCGTAAAAAAAGTGTTAAAGGGAAGATACAACATTTGCAAACATAAAAAAAAACCGAAATGATCAAATTGTCACGAAATACCTTTCTGAATTATTAGGAAATGACAGTCTAAACTTTAAAAGAGAATCCTGTAAAATCGTGGCCCCTGGTGTGCTGACATTTTCAAAACTGTATTTTTTCCAAAGCTGGTCGGCCAACCAGCGTTGGAGAAAACTGGTGGGTTTTTTTAAAAACAGCTCCTAATATTTCATATTTAGTTATTCTGCATTTTCTTTGCAACTGATTTCACACCTCTGAAGGGGTACAAGCCTGCTAGACTGATTCTTTGACCTTACAATTCCCTTAAGTCTATAAATTGCTCTGTTTCATCTTAAGTGGGGTCAGGGAACGAGACTACATGAACATAATTGGTTTTCTTGGTTTTTTAGCATCTACAAGCCCAAAACATAAAACATGTCGGTTTAACTTTAACTGATGATACTTTTTACAGTCATTTGTTAAAGAATGATCTGTATTCAGGTGTCTCTGTCAATGTACCCGTACATCTGCACGTTCATTTAATACATGTATGTTGATGTACCCATAAGTATTGCTTGCACTCGGCAAGTTTTTAGGTCTGATGCCCTCATTGGAGCCCTCCCCTCCCCCCCCCCCCCCCGAAAAGTTCTACATCCACTGCTGTTGTCATATCATAGACTTTGTCAGGTCAGTTTGAGAAATAAAAAGTTCAGGAGAGTTCGTGCGAGAGTGCTCCAGCTGTCTAGACACATAGATCGGTTACAAGTTATTCACTAACACAATTCCTGATTTTGGACACTGAATACTTGTTTGTGTGAAACCTTTCACCTGTTGCCTATCTAACTTTCCCCTTAATTTGAATTGAGTGAATGAAAGCTGAACTGAACTGTTCCAAACTTTTGAAGACACAACAAAGTAAAGTTATTCGTGACAAGTAAGTAAAGGAATACCGTTTGGAAATGTGCTTCTAATTTCATTGTTTGTTTCAAATTGTTTGGAAAAGCTACATGGGTCATTCTATACATTTGGGGTCCACTTTTTTCCTGTCCCTGATTCATCATTTGTCATTCTGATATAATGCTTAATGCAGTCATCCTCCAAGAGTGATTATGAATAGCAAACTACATGTACATTTTCCTACCCAACACAGAAAAGTTGGAAGTAATTCTCAATGATGCTAGAATGGCAAATTACAAAGTTCGGAGGTAACAGGGAAAACTGTCACACTTTGGACCCTAACCTATACAGTGTGGTCCCAAAAAACCCGCAGACTCATACTTCCAATATCCAGGGACCTAAACCATTGATATGGACAGGAAATTTTGTTGGAAGGAAAATGATACCAAGATTCGGTAGAGTAGTTTTGATTCCAGTGCCATTTTTGTGAATCAAAGTCAGAGGTTAAGAACAGATTCACTGTGTGCGATAATCCTTATTAGAGCCCCTGACTGTGGTTCACAAAAATGGCGCTGGAATCATTGGGAGTTTTTGGTATCATTTTCCTTCCAACAAAATTTGCTATCCAGATATACCAATAATAGGTCTCTGAATAGTGGAAGTGTGAGGTTGCATTTTTTTTTTGACCACCCCGTTTAGAAAAGACACATACTAACTTTTCAATTGAGTGGAAGAAAACCGAACTGGGTAAAAAGTACTGAAATGAACTAAATTGAACTGAAGTTTTTAATGCACAAAGAAGTAAAGCCTGTTCTGTTGAGAGCGTACAAGAACATTTTGTTATGTGCTTTGTATTTTATTGTTTGCTTATCTATGTTATCTGTTCATGAAAACTACCACCACGAAATATCTCAGTCCAGCCTAACTGTTTCTGGCTACCTTAACTAATTTCCTGCGCAGGCTGTGCTTGCTGTTAAAATTCCCTCAAAGTTAAAGACCGCTTTCCCACTTGGGATACTCAATCCTCCTTGCAATAACCATTAGTCCACACTCAAGCAGGCCAAACTGTGGATTGAATTATGCCGCATATTAACCTTTGAACTTGTTTCAAAGGCTAAAGCCACAGCGACTGGATTGCAATGCTAGGATGTATGTAAACAGAAGTCAAACAAGGGTTATTTAACTTAGGAATATAGGATAGTTTTACTTACTTTGGAAGTTTCAAGCATTCAATATCTCCCGTCCCTGGATCATAGTTTTGTGTTAATAGATTCCTGAGAGAACCTTTTTTGACAAAAGAAATGAAAGAAACCAAAAAGTTGATTAGTTAAGTTTCAAAAATTAATTAAGCACACAAAATAACATAAACGAATAAAATGTTTGACAAAATAGTGAACAAATAAGAAAGTAATTGTATCTGTTTTGACAGAGCGCTACCCTTGCAGTATTTCTTAGAAAAATTATTGTTCATCAGACAATGTTTTCCTACCATCATTAATTAATATATCATATTTTCAAGTAGAAAATTACTGATTCTTTTTGCATTAAAGATTAATACAAGAGGAACTTTGGAGCACTATCAGTGTTTTTCTGATGCTTTAGGACTTATTAACTCATTTAAAAATGATATCTTTAGTGTTTGACTTTGCTGTAAGAAATCCTTCATAAAAAGGTTCTAGGACATATTTAAAACAGAACAGTAAACTAGTATACAAATAATGAATGTTTATGAGTGCAATGGTAAGAATAATTTCATGAGGTGACAGATGGAATGTTCCAGTCCACTCATCAGCAAACATTCCATCTGTCACCTCATGAAATTGTTCTTTCTGTTGCACGAATATGAAACATTTATTATTTGCTTTATACAACACCTGAATAAATTAGCCAACAATCATGTGACCGTGCAATGGAAGTTATATTTGCCTTCAATTTTGCGATTGAGGCCTGGCCGTGGGAAAGGACGAACAATTAGGTTCTTGTACCATGCACATAATATTATTACATATTAAAATGAATCTGTTAAACTCACATGTCCAGTCACCCTGAATTCGTATGTGCACAGTGAAAGTAGAGTTGCTTTGAGATGGACACTGTAGAACAAACAAAAGAAAACAATTACTATTAATACTCAATACTAATAATTATGTAAGTATAAACTTATTCCCACAAATGTACTATTAGGGAGACACGTTAGCGTAGAAAATTCGGTAGTAAGGAGACACAGGCTTAATAGGGAGACACCTAGGTGTCTCCCTATTGGCGCAGCCCCCCTTTAGAGACAAGATTTTGCTGTCGCAATTGGGTTATATTTGTTGCTCGTGGTCTAATTAGTAAAAAGACCGAAATTCGTGGAAAAAGGACCAGGGAATACATGTATCGGGTTAGGGCACATTTAATTCGGAAAATTTTTGTGCACAAGTCTATGGGAAAGTCTCCATATTACCCCATTACCGGTAATTATTATAACAATAATTATTAACTCGTGTGTGATGATATCATGCAGTACAATGTATATAAAAGGGCAGTAGAAATATTCTAATTGAACTTTATCAAAGCAAACTACGTTTCCGGGAAACGACTCAAAATGTTCAATTCACATTTGGTTTCCTATTTTTTCCTACAGGGAAAAACACTTAGAGAAATGACCATTTTTGGCGAGGATATAATTGATTGATGAATTTAGTAGGTAGCCACATTAAATTGATTGCTGCATTTAGCTGGTATTCGGTGTAGTTGTAGAACAACAAAAATATCATTATATAGAGTGTGTGGAGGTTTTAAACTCAGTCATATCGTTAGAAAAATTAGAAAATGATTTTTTATAAGCCTTACCCTTGTCATTGTAAATGGGTGCCATTCTAGACGAGAAACCATAGGACAGCGCAACATTACATACTGCAGGAAGAAGGAAGAAGAAGCAAATGTGAGAACATTGACTGGATAAGAAAAAAGAAAATTATCTCTATTCTGATCAGAACAGAATCATTTACTTTAAACATACCAAACAATCTTGTTGTTTATTCCCATTGAAAAAAAATGCGTACTGTCTCAACTTGTCCATATATATTTTGTTCCCTTCAACCATTTACTACAATACAAACTGTTAAGTCAGGTTGGTGTAGCAGTACTTTCCTCGCCTTCCACCGCTGTGACTTGGGTTCGAATCCCACCTGGGCCAACATGTGGATTGGGTTTTCAATCCCTACCTAACTCCACGAGTTTCCCCCAGAATATTCAACTGGGGTTTTCCTCCCACCTCTAAAACTGTGTTTTCTTCCCAATGTCTTCTCTCTACAGGTTTCTTCAGGCTTTCAAGTTACAGTGCCTAGGGCGCTTTTGGGGAATCCTTGGTTCCATTCAGATATAATTAATAATAATAATAAAACAGTTTTGAACTATCAAAGTGGTCAAGTGTTTTTCAAAAGGAATTGTTTTTGGTTTCACGAATGGTATGGAGCAAAATTAATAGTCCATAAATATGATACCCCACAATGACAGGTGTCACATTTTTTTTTATTACCTGGCCAGGTCGTGCCTCGAATTGGTCCACATGCAGCTGAAGTTCCATGACGTCACAGGCATGGAACCGAACGCCAATCACCGTCACGCACCGGTAACTCCGGAAGAATCGCCACAACCGCTCCCCAATGTACAGGACAGCTGGGAGGATTAAAAAGCACCATGTCTGTAAGTGGAACAAAGTATGTAAATTCAAGTTACTGCTATAAAAGGATAAATCAACTTAAAGGGAATGTACATCATTGGTTTTTGCTGTAATTTTCAGAAATGAACTATTTGAGGGGTTAGTATAATAGATCAAATATTGTTACACTGACATGTTTGAAGTTTTGTGTTCGAAAATGCTGGAAAAACCAAGAAAAACCAAAATGCTCAAGTAGTCTGGTTCCCGGAAAATTGTAAGGTAAGGAAACCAGTCTAGCTGGCCTGCACCTGTTCATGATTTTGTAACTAATAGCAAACAAAATTTGGACTGAAAAAAATATGGTAAATTTGGAGTAGTAGTTGAAAAATAGTTAGGTTTTTCCAGCGCTGGTCGGCCGACCACCGTTGGAAATTGATACAAAATGCAGCTTTTCTTGAAAATGGCTTCACACCAGGTGCCATATTTTTACAGGATGCTTTAGACTGTCATTTACCAACATTCTAGTAAGGTATTTCGTAAAAATTTGGTAGTTTTGTTTTTCGACGTTTGCAAATGTTGTATATTCCCTTTAAGAAAAGTTAAAATTTGAGTTCCTAGTACAATCTTAATACTTTAAGCTAATCACTTACATTCAATATGATCATGCACTCAAGACCGACTTGTTTTTCAACTGGTTTCAGCTAAAGAACATATGAAAACTGCCATAATAATTTTTAATTCATTCGTGAATAGGGGTGTTAGTTCATGTGCTACAAGTTCAAAATTTTAAAAGCCTACAATGTAATGTGTGATCAATTTAAATACGTTAAAATAACTAATGCTAAGTTTAAAACAGACAAAACAAACTGAAGAAAAGAAGCTCATCAAAATAGCTTATGATTTGTATACAAGAACTTTCGGAGAAGACATTTTCATTTGAATTTTCAATAGAATTTAAAATTTCCATTGGAATTTTAATCAACACAAACAAGTTTTTAGAGTCTTTTGAGTATCACGTTTGTAAAGCAATTATCTAAAGCCTTAGGTACTTAAAGGTCATGTGCAGGTCAACCCTGTGTCAAAGGTCACATCAAAATGGGGGAGGGTGTAAACACATATGAAGCAGGACCAACTTACATCAGATCTGTGTGGAACAAAAGCAGGCTCCTCCTCACAAATCATCGTTGAGTTCATTTTCATGAACCAGTCATGTGACTCCTGTTCAGACCAGTCATGTGACCCGGGTTCTGGCTCTGCAGCTGGTACAGCGGTATCTAGGCAACCTGGTGTGTGGGTGTTTGTGTTACGCTGTTCTTTCAATACTCCTCTGAATAGAAAAAGTACAGGCGATGTTAATGAAAACATTCAACGCTGTATGACAAAATGTGACACATCTATCAAAAACAGACACTTTTGGGCACAGATTGAAATAGAGATATGACAAAAAATAAAGTGGGTTGATCTTTTTTATCCACTTTTCAGTTTCTTGCAAATTTGCATTTTACATGTCTGAAATACACTGTTAAAGTTTCGGATCGTAAGTTTGCCTCTGAAAGCGAGTTTTGGATAATTTGTAACCATTCTGAAAAATTACGCAGAACCGAAGAGTTTGTTCAGGCAATTTCTCTGATTTTAGTTTTTTCAACATCACAAACTTCAAATGGGCATCATTCTGCCCAGGAATTCCGTTTTTAAAAATTGAAAACGTCACTGTAAAGGCGAAGATCTTTAATAATATTTAACTTGGGGGGGGGGGGGCGAACTGCAGAGAAATGTCGAAAAATATCTTACCTTATGGAGTGACATATAAGCAATGCGTAAAATACAAGGAACAATTGATGGCAGTACCAAAACAGTTCATGTCTGGATGCCCTGTCCCAAAAAAAAAAAAAAAAAAAAACAGAGAAAAATATTATTCACTATAAGATCACATGTTTTATTTCAAATAATTATGATGTCATCTAACTTCATCCATGAGCACTCTGAATAATGACAAGATATGACAATTTCGGAATTTGGTAGATTCTTTTTGAGTAGAAGAGACTTAAATTTGATCCATGTACATGTATTGGCTTTTGCTCCAAGTGAAGGGGAGAACCGCTTCTAAAATTGTCAGTTCGGTGTTCGCTTTTGTCACTTTTTCATCCACAACCATTTTTAGTATCTTGAAAAATAGAGTTCAAGGAGACATAACTGTGTTCTTAGCAGAGAAAAGTGACTGGTCTTTTTTTGTAATCGAGCGTAGTAAAAATACAAAACGCCACTGGAAGAAAACCGAGCAGGGCACGGGCAGGATTATGAGCTAACAGCTGGTTTTGGGGTTTTTTTTGACACGCAGAGATCTGCCAAATTTACTTCGATATTTTATTCACGGTAACTTCACTCATGTTCTATTAAACTCTCCCCAGGTAGCTGACATGGTGCACTCGATTTAATTAAAAGTTGGAGAACAGGGGGTCCAATTAACAAGGTCGCCTGCAGAGCCACCATGGTCTCACTTTGAAGCCACATGCCACTTCGCTGCGCATTAATGTTCAAGCACGATGTCAAGCAAAACGAACGGCTTTCTCAAGAAAACACATGCTATAGCTGCCAGAGTTTGAATTTGGTGACCCATTACTTACATATTTTACTTTTTAACTTCAATTTTAGACTGAATAACTTCAAAGGATATTTGGCATCATTACTAATGTTAGAGGATACGGAAGTAATTAATTTTTAATGCGGTCAGTTTATTTTTGGACTGTGACCAAGTAAGAGAGTGCTGTGGTCTAAAAAAAGTTGCAACAATATTTTTACGTTTTCAACTCTGTAGATTTGGCGGTGGTGGTGCTTACTCATTCTGTGTGCCAAAATCATCACATTGGACAGACACACACTGTCCAAAGGGAATTGCTCAAAATTATGAAGTCCCACCAAGTCTTTATATAGAGTTATAATGTAAACAATGCGTATACAAATATGTATACAATATGTATACAATGTGTTTACATGTGTAAAATATGTATACGTATACATTACAACGGTGAACAATTGGGTCTGTGCGGAGATTTAAGCACAGAAATGCCCTCCGCAATAAAACAGGTTTTTGCCATGCAAAATCGGGTTACAATGCCAAAAAGTTAAGGGAAGCGTAATTGTTTTGCTAAGAATCTTAATCTTCCTAGCCGTATTCCTCATTTTATAAGACCTCTTTAAATTAAAATTGGCTGCAGGTGTTTTTGTTTCTTTACCTTACAGCTCTACATGACGTCAGGACAATGGCAACCAGAATAAGCAGCATTAGGCAGCCCGTCACGCCAGGCACTGTGAGAAATATAAGGGCAAGGAGCAAGTAAGTAAAAACGAATTTCAAATTGGCATTGTTGTAGCTCCATGTTAAAACCGAGCTCTCTTTTGTTCTTTTGTTCAGGTCCTCAATTCATACAACAGGTTGTACGAGTTAACAAGGTGCACCGCTATCTGAAATTCTTTGAATCGTCATTACTTTTTTTTCAAATTTTAATAATTAAATCCTGAGACATCCACTTCAGTCACATTTCAATATATTGAACTTCAGGTGAATAAATTATTAAGTCAAATAACAAAAGATAAAAGATATTACACTCGTTCTTCTATTGTGATGAATTATGCTCGAGACAAAAATTAAGGAAATTGTAATTATTTGTTGGCCAAAGGGTAGGATTTTGCCCTATAACCAGCGTGCTGTATTCGATTCGCCGAAGATCAAGTTTTCAAGAAAGGTCCTTTTTTCTTCAAATTTTGGACTAGACTTAACTTTCCACACTGCGCTGGTTGTTGCGAATAAAAAAACCAGAAACAGACATTTCATGAATATTTCTACAAAGTTTTGAAAAATGTATCATTCATACTGTTCACGATAAACGAATCTATTCCTTATGTTGATATCTTAATGATTGATCCACAATTAAACCAAAAATAGGCCAAAAGAAAGCCCAAGAGATGGGAAAATCTAAGGGGAACAGAATATTGTTTTACTGTTTTAGTGATTCCTAAACTGTTTACATAACCTGGGTTGACATCCGTAAAGCGGTAGTGCGGTTTGTTTTGTTATTAGCTATAAAATCCGGTTGAGACAAACTAAATTCTTTGGGATCTATCCACGAAATTATGTTAACAAAGGTGTATCTGTTTAGTTTACGGCTGAAATTGATTGAACTATGAAGTTGAGTATGACCTTACCTGTTGTGAAAATTATTCGACAGGGGCTCTGAAGAAAAAAGTGGTGGGAAATGTGGAAAATAGATGAGTATTTGTAAACTTGAGATGTGTTAAGTAATCGGGACAATAGTACAATAACAAGTGGTTGACTGATGTTTTGAAGTACTTAGTGTCTTTGTTCGGGTTAAAGTTCGTTGGACGGTCGCTACTAAAGTCGTTGATCTTTCGATTGGACAGTTGGTAGGTTAAGTGGCTGAATCAGTCAATCAATCGATCAGTTCATTTGTTGGTTGGTTTCGGTCGGTTTGTCCATGGTTTGTCGGTACGTTGGTCAGTAGGTCAGTCAGCTGGTAAGTCAGTCGGTTCATTGGTCAGTCAGTTCATTGGTTGGTAGATCAGCATGTTTGTCAATTTACTAGTCGGCCAGTCGGTTCATTGGTGGTCAGTCGGCAAGCCAGTCCAGTGGTCAGTGGGTTCATTTGTCGGTCAGTCAGTCGGTTTATTGAAAAATTGCCTGCGTAAATTTTACCCAAGCAAAGGTGAAAACTGCAACTACCCAAAATTGGGTTGCCCTTTACCCAATTGTTTGGGTTACAATTTCTGTTAAAATTCAACTAAAAGGTGTGGTCATGCCAGACTAAATTTAATGAGGTCTTGTATGACCACAAGTTTTGGTTGAATTTAACAGAATGCTAACCCAAACAATAGAGTAAAGCACAACCCAGTTTTGGGTAGTTGCAGTTTTCACGCTTGGGTACCATAAACCCAGTCAATTTTTCAGTTTTCATTTTCAGCCTGTAAGCCGGTCAGTTTAATGTCCCTCGGTCAGTGTTGTTGGTCAGTTATAGAGTTCTTGATAGGGGTTAAACTGCGTAGTTGGTTACTATTTCAGCATGGTTTGGCTGCAGGATAATCTATTTATAATAATTGTCTGCTTACTTGTTTTGTGATTACACCTGCTATCCCAAAGTATTCCCCAAGGTTATATCATATCAATCAAATCAAGAATGCAAATGCCTCATGGGTCGTAGTCAGATTGCATGGATGTCAATCACAACGGCTTAGTGTGAGATTTGCCTTAGGCAAACACTGCACGGGGGATAACTATCAAGGGGCAATGTTTGTTTCTCTGGAGGCTAACCCAAACTATCAAACAACCAGAAGGTTGTAATATTATATTTGTGGGCATAAATATTATATTTGTGGGCATACCTCACCCAGGTAGCTGGCCACGTTGACATCGGGGACGTTAATGTTGTAGTTGATGGAGAAACTCACGGCGTTGAAGAAATGGGCTACGCAGTGGACAGCTGAAGGAATGTCAACAAAAAAAACCAATGGCATTAAAAACAATCCACGATTTGGGAGACTTTTGTGGATACATGTGGAGTAACTCTGAACTTGAGAGGAAAATTGTTTTAAGAACCAGAGATGTTAACTCAACGTTTCAGTCACGACATTCTGATCATCATCATCATCATCATCATTATCATCATCATCATCATCATCATCATCAGAAGTTCTACTGATATAACAGCTATCCTTCATAGCATATTGATGGAAAAATCGAGTTAATAAAAGCTTTCGTACTTTTCGGAATCTTTTTTTTATCTTATAGTTAATCACAATTAAGTTATGCTCTCCAATATATTCAAATCCTAAAATTTAAGAACTATTAGGAAAAAAAGACTATTATTTTGTAGTGGCCACGCAAACATTATATCAACAGTTATTCAAAGTGATTTATTGTTTAATATTTTGCTTACTTGTTCCCAAGCAAATGAATACGGCAATCACGATGTGAATAAATCGGCTGCGATCCAGACACTTCCTGGTCGTGCGGTGAACCTGTAACCCAGAAGGAAACATAAATAATTAAATGACTGGCCCAGACACCCAGATCTGGAAACTAAAAAAAGGCAACGTCTCCTACCACTCTCCTTAACAATTTCCGAATCCAATACTAATAATAACTCCTGCGAACCAAAAGTAATCCAATGGTATGTGTGAGGGTCAGGGTCGAACCTGATTTCAATTAGATTTTTTGCATGCAGTGAACGACTCCACGTGAATTTAATTTGAGAATGGGATTAGGGCAAGTTTACCTCTCGCCGCATTAACCACACTTTGTTCAGTCAACTCTAACTGAGCGACTGCTCAAAATAGGCGACTTTCAGCCATGGGCGTCAATCGGTGCCGGTGGGGGACCAGGGGGGGGGGGGGCAGGGGACACATGTTCCCCCTCCCCCTCCCACTTTTTAAAGTGGGGGATATCATATCGTTTGTCCCCCCCCCCTTTTTTTCGTCGCCGAAAAAAAATGTAGCCTATATTTGATTGTATAGCTCAGAATAGCTGATTCAGTGACTCCAAACTCGAAAATGATGTTTCAATGATGATCTTTTGTTCAAAAAAAAAGAATTCGTTAAGTGGACAGAAATTGCAGATCGCACCACAGAAGAGCATCTAGAGTCCAAAATTGTTCGTGGCCCCGAGCCCACGCCGTGAGGGCTTTTAGCTTGGCGCTCGCATTACTTCTGATCAAGGTATGCCCCCCCCCCCCCCCACACACACACACACACCCACTTTGGGATGCGATTGACGTCCTTGCTTTCAGCATTAAGTACAACATTGCTTTTAAGGAGTATGTATGATTTTTTTTGTCTTGGCATGCACCACTAGTTGAAGGAATTTTTTTTGAAAGGTCAGTAACCGGTTATATCCGGTCTTATCTCAAGTACGTAGTATACGGCAGTTTATCAGATTGACATATGCCACCAGGCGCAGCCTTTGACGGACAATTTAATGGTTGACGCTTGAAGTTGTCAAATTAGCAAATTTCCAGGACATGAACTTTCAGAATGTTTATAATTGTCGTTCATTACGGAAACATATCGGAAAGTTTCTCTAAATTGCTGCTGTTCCCCAGAGGACCAGCCAATAGGCCATTATTTTGTATCTGACTGACTGATTGATTGATTCACTGACTGAATGTCACTTTGGAACCGGGCAGTGCTATTTTAAAGGATTACCCCGTAATGCTAATGAATGGGCTTGAAAAGACTTCACTATACTAGTGAATAGCCAGTTTAAATCATTTTAATGGAATTCTGTGCGCTGTGGGACCAGCTTTACTAGGCTTGCTTTGTCTTGTCTTTTTTTTTTTTTAGAATTGGTGGAGAAATATCTAATAAGCATCCGGGTCACGAACGAAATTTCCCCCAACCCTACCTTAGGTACCCTCTCTGAAGAATCTACATTTTCATGGCCAACTTGTTTCTGAAATCGAGGTTTCTTTTCGTTTGAGCTGAATGAATCCGTCGATCGGCATTATGACGTTTTTATCCTCACAGGAGCTTTACTTCATGACGGTCAGAACATAATGACCGAAACGTTGAGTTAATATCTGCATATTATCTTCTCATCAGAACCACGTAAACTTTCACAATCATTGTATCAATGCCAAAAGGTCTCCCATTGTTATATACTTGAACAATAGCCTCAAATCGTATTCACTTATTCTGCTAATCTTTCAAATTGTGTGGTCACCAGGGTTGGCTTAGACCTAGTGTATAAATCATCTCAAGTCAAGGGCAAGAACAATACTCGGGCAAAATGACATCATCAACCACCGACCACGCGGGCACATCAAACACAATAAAGGTCATTCTTTGTTGAGTATGTTGGCTGCCATTTGGAAGCGATAAATTGCTTTGACACCCTTGTGCGTGGTCTTGGTAAAGAGGTTTTCTGAAGTTTCTGAAGAGCGGCAGGGACGCTCGTCTCAAACCAAACCCGTATAATCCTGAGACATAATGACGTCACGCTTTGTTTACCTGCACGGGAGCTTGTTGGCCATTGTCCTTGTTGTTCCCATAAAGCGCACAATCATGTAAACAAAGCGTAACGTCATTATGAAGCCTCTTCCAAACAAGTGATTGACAGATATAGACTTTCACGTTGAAACCAATCATAACATAACGCCCGTGCAAACAGGGGTAACTTTTGTGTTACCCAATTTTGTTTGGGTTCATCCATCAATGTCAAGGGTACGTCTCAGTCGGTGGTCTTATACCCATCGAGGTCGTATACAATGGCATAAAAGGGTTCTGACACAGTTAATGTATAGCCGAAAAATGTAGGTTGCATTGATGAGGTCAAAAGGTTGCCAGTGACCCTGAAAATCCATTTCAGATCAGTTTGTGAAAACCTTCGATCAGTGTCCGTAAACCGTAATAAATTGTCCTCAGAGTTTACGTCTTCTGTGAGCATTCACACAAAGCTGTGCAAGTACAAAGACATTCCTTCAAGACGTGCATTAAACTTATGACTTCTCATCCAGGGGAGAAAACGGGGTGACTGATTGGGGGGGGGGGGGGGAATCAGCCAACGGGGTAACGTGTGTGGTTGTAACTGCAACTAGCCCGGCAGACCAAAATGAGAAATCCTCTCTAACAAAAATCAGTTAGCCGCCTTATGTCACTCACCTATCAACTCGAGAAAAGTGACGGGTTCAATTTGAAGATCGTCTCGTAATGTTATATTGTGCGGATACGGACTGAACTAACGAATCATTTGTAAGGTTTGACATGTTAGGTCAAGGAGCGATTAACCTTGGCATTCAAAGTCTAAACCTGGCATTCAACAGTTATTTTCATAGCATAAACTAAGCATGATAGGATTGTGAAGTGTATTTTACTGTTTTATGTAACGAATCTATAGAGTACATCATGCCATTATTATCATGTCTGCCGATATCTTTATAAAAAAAAAGATTTCACTTATTTAAAATGTAAATTTACTTTTGCTTGAAGAAGGATCCTGCTAGAATCAAAACGTCAGGTCCTCTAACTTTTATGATTTGAATAATTCAGGCCAATCCAGTCAGTGAGCAGTTTGCATCAGTACAATGTAGTCCATTCTCGGTATTAAATTCATCATTTAAATTCATTATATCAATATTTGTCATTTGTGGGTTTGCCTCAAGTGTCGTATAATCAACAACTTAATCCTCAGTATATTTTGGTCTTATGGCAAACTGTTGGAAAAACTTTTGTAACTCTAGTTTTTATTCTTCTTCTTCTTCTTTTCCCCACTTTTCTATCCTCTTTCCCATAGACTTTGTACACATCGACAACTTACGTGTTTAGACCTCCGTATAAGCGACAGCAGGCATCTGCACATCGGTAGCAAGATTGTGGCACAGTTTAGATTAAGCACGGCAGCAGAGCCCCGCGAGACGCACAAACCAAGCTGTGCAAAGACAAATTATGTTACGTGCTTAACAGATTTCCTAAGCACTTACAGGGATGATCTTTGTTTATTTCAAAGGGGTTGGGGCAAGGGCAAATTAGTCTTAACATTAAAACAAAAATTGAGCCTTTTTGCCAGACCATTTCCCAGCCTAGTTTTTCTCAAGACAAACAATTTCACTCAACTGGTGGACCGAGTTTTGCAAAATTTCAAAAGTGCTGCTGCACTTTTTTAACGTGTTTTTAGATGGGGTTATGATCGAGAATAAGCTTAATGTAGCCTCTCTGAACTCCCATATATTTGCACTAAGTTTAGTCGGGCACCATTTGCAGTCATCAGTAGACATTTGAAGCAAAAAAGTCAGGTAAAAAAAAAAAAGCCGCGTCGCCGCACCACTATTTGGACAAGCTCCATACCAGAAAACGGAGACTTTTTATTTTTGGCCTAATATTTACTGTTTTGGGAGCCAAATAGAGATGTTCGTTATAGTGGTGTTCGTTTTAGCGGTGTTTTACTATACATGAATTGCAATATTCGTTTCAATTTTGGCTCTTACCCCTAATATCCCTCTGAGATAGTAGTATTTAGCTTCCCTTTTATATTGCATGTAGCTCCACCAGAACGCGGCTACGTTTAGACCCGTCCACACAACCTGTACAAAAAAGACAAACATTAAAATTTGTTTCGACTTGGTTCAAAGAAGAATGAAGCTTTAAAATTAAAAATCAAACGCCTTCCTCTTATATGCCACTGGACCGCAAGAGCATAGATGTGTAAAAATGTCACCGGGTTGTCGGGCAACTTTGTAAAGGCAACTGTTTGGCCTATGTAACCAGCGGGTTCCGGAAACGGAAGCGGGTACTTGAAATACCAATACGCGGTAAAGTCTAGACGCTCATGACGAGTGTACAAAAATAGACAACATTAGCCGATGTTAGGAATTATTATAGCTGACCTGCCATAGAATTAAATTAACGGCTTATGGAAATCATTTTTAATAAGGAGCTGAATTTAGTGCACACACCAATACTTGTTTTTTTTTTATTTCGCAAGGGTGTGTTTGCGACTTTTTATGTAGCGTGGATGGAAACACAACATGGATCGATCCTTCTTGTGCACAGAAAATCAAACAAAAACTAAGTAGGGTTTGATAATTTTAACTGAAATTTACGATAGTTTAGTTTTTTTTATTTCTCAAGTGTATAGGCCTACTTCCAGTTATTCGAGCAACAGCGAGTTTCAGACAGTTCTTAAAGTACGCCTTAATGTTTCTTTATTTGAAAGGTTTCGTGTTGCTTAAAATCGCATATTGCTTTTCAAGAACTCGGTTGTTGAAAAACAAGACACATTTCGTCTTCCTCACCAATACGAAAAAAAATTTCTTTCCTTTTATTTTCAGGTGTTTAGACTTAGTCCTACATGTAGTTATTCGAGCAACAGCAAGTTTCAGTCCTTCCCTTAAGTAAGTTTTAATGTTTCTTTTTTTTAGAAGAGTTCATGTTGCTCAAAATCGCATATTGCTTTTCAAGAACTCGGTTGTTGAAAAACAAGACACATTTCGTCTTCCCCATCTTTTAAAAAAAATGTAATTACCAGTGCAATTTCGCACTTCTACCGCTTGTCACCAACTGGAATTGAGCTCAATGTTTGTTGACAGAGCCCCTTCTATAGTCGTGAATGACACATTGTGTGCAAAGTACCATTGTTCCGATAAACACACATTGTTAACTGTTGACTGACACAATATTCGCGGTTTCGGAGGCAAAAGGTTGGAATTTTCTTTTTAAGAAAAAATATCCGCAAGGCAAAACAGCTGGCTGCAACTTTATACGGTTTGTGAACAAACATAAAGCATAATGCGTATGTATAAGCTTTAGTACAAAATCGTTTCAATGACAGGTGTTGTAAGAATAATGTTGATCCAGCAAAACGATACATATTTTGAAAACAGGTGCATTGTATACTGTTGGAATTCAATGGCGAATTTTTCTTCGCACAATCAATCCTACTTTCATTTTAAACATATTTGGGGAACATTTTGTTAATACTTGAATGAAACTCTTGTACTATTCGAGATGTTTAAATATTAACTAACTCACAAATACATCTACGCCTTTTGCACTTTGTGAAGTTTACTATTTGCTGAAAAATACCATCTAGAAGCCATTATTTTCAACTTCTGAGCACATCGAAACAACCTGTGAAATTCCATTCGGTATTTGATCATTTTGAACTTCTGAAGGTATACAGAAAAGCGTTTTCTAAAAATATTTTTTCCCCAAAAAGTGCCACCTGCTGCTGATGGGAGGGTTTAATTGGACATAAGCGTCAACAATTTTTTTGAATTTGGTGATCGTAACTTCCGTCAGACCATTCAAACTCTATTGAAACCACTTGTATACGCCCTATTCGTGCTATTTGTAATAAAAATATTTTGTTACAGACATCCAACTGGTGTTCCAATAGAAACTAATTTACAGATTTTGCCGACATCGAAAGTGAGAGTTTGTGTTACGGTCACGTCTGGTGATGTAATTTGTCGGTTTTTGAGAGTCTATGCAGAGCAGTGAAGCACTCGTCTGTAATTCGCCCTTTGGTCGCCATTTTGAAAGTTTGTATCCAAAGTGAGGCTATATAGTGTTGTAAAACAATAACTGTTTGGAGTCGCTACCAGTGCTATGTGGATTGCTGTGTCCATTCATGGAGGAATAAGTACTTGTTAATGCCAGCCTCTCTCTCAATGTGGTCCATGGGTTCAACCATGGAGGAATAAGAACTCCTCCGTAGTTCAACGAAACGAAGGTTTCTAGTTCTGTGAAAAAATGGCTTGTTGAACTTGCAATGAACGGGTGTAATCAATAAACAATATTATACGGTTGACCGTTCAGGCAAACGTCTAACCTTATTTTTAGACTCATTACGGGGAAAGAAATTGCTTCTGACACTAACTTAATGAGGTGACCCCTCCAGTGCGGTTGACCTTTGCTTTATCACTGGAAGGGCCCTAGCCGGCGTTTATGTGCAAGCATAGAGCTTGTGGTGCAAGTGTGTGTGTGTCTATTCCTTCCTCCATGGTGTGATTTATCATGTTTATCGAAGGAAAATAATCACTTTGGCCGCAGAATAAAATGATCGTGCAGAATCAGTAAAAATCCTCGGTATAAACATGGCACAAGGTTTATAGTGCCCCTGCACATACATAAAGTTTTACATAAAGTTTTACACAAGTAAATTGGCCTTGAACGTCAATGTCACAATGTAGTTTCAATAGACTGGCCTTGTAGTTATGGGTTTTCGTTTGTCCGTGGCTCCATAGAATCTCGTAAGCCAAAGTATTATATAAGTAAGAGGTAAACTTGTCAAAATCCTGAAGAAAGTATGATTCCAAATTGTCATTACTCAATAATTGTGTTCTTTTGACAATATGTAGAACTAGAATTTCTTGTTCATCCATTAAAAAGTTTAAAAGGGCTTTCACGAGAACGATAATTCAATATTATCCGTTTTCAAATGTTACCTTACTTAATTGAGGTAGCTCAAACATTGGAATTTTATACACCTGTCGAAAGTATACACGGTGAACTTACCACAAACAAGTATTTGAATCCACCGTTCCGGAACCAACTACACGTTGAGAACCCATCTCGGCTGTCTCGTCTGCGGTGACGTGCCTGACGGCCTCGTGTTGTTGCAGACTTGCCCGTCATCGGGTCGTAATCAACCACCACCGGGGCAGACGTCTCCCTCCCCCGGTCCTCAGACCCCTTATTCCCCGCTAGATCCATGCTCGATACCCGGTGAGAGTATTACTCGTGTCGTAGTCCGGTAATCTCGATCTTGGTGACTGACCGGCAAGGCGCATTGCAAGACCCAAGATCAGGGCCAGCACCGCTCGGTTCAGCCTTGCCGACCGCTGACAAAACCGGCATAGCTATCCCAACACGATGACGTGAACTGCTCCGATTGTCTGCCAAAAGGTCGACCACAAGTTGTTTTGCACCCAAATAGATAAATAAAAGGAGCCCTGTAGGCTATCTTTAGTTCTTCCAAGGAAAGTCACCTCAATGTAGCGTGTTTATGTGAAGACAGTCGCCGGTTCCACCAGCTGACTGACCGGTGACTAAGCGATGAGTAGGCGGGATGTTCTAATCCGTTTACCGGGGGACTGTCTGTGTAATTCCTCGGGCCCATCAGATAGAACATCAGCGGGGAACATCACCCGTAGAATAGTGCATACACCTTGGCATCTTTCGGAAATACAAACACGGGCAACGCATGAATGAACGACGTCTGGGTCGCGAGAACAAAAGAAATGAACAAGTTGGCTGACCTTGGACGAAACCATTCTTGCTGAAAGGGGTCCACTGTGATTTACTTTTTGGTATTTACCTGAAACAAATATTGGTCGTGAATGTTGAATTTTATTTTAGTCAGTCTGCGTTTTCTTGATCAGTTTGATGTTGCTTACATTATATTTCCATCAAAGAGGAAATAAAGATGTTCTTTTAATGTCATGATTTCTAAAAAAAAAAAAAAAAAAAAAAAAAAAAAAATATTTGTGTGGGGTTATCATTATACCTGCACATACACTGTACAGACGATTTTCTGTTGAGAAAATAGGCGGAGCCGAAACGAACTAGTCCATAAATTATACTGCATGCCATGTTATAGTAAACAAACTAGTATCAAAATTGATTTGAATTGGTTACAACTTAACTCTTCAAAATCTTAGGTCCCCAACTTAAAACAAAGTCACATATGCCAAAAAGTTGTACTTTTAATCCAACGCCTGCCAGTTTTCTTCGAACGAAATCTTAAAAAGTGCTTATCCGCTCACCATGCACCTTTTTTACACCACGACAAAGTAAACAAAACATGCCCCACCTTAAACAGGACCCAAAGAGTTTAATTCTACGATTTGAAATACTTTTAGTACGTTATCCGGTTTAAGACCGTTTCCCTTAGTTTTAACAAATATTATTGTTGGGGCCGCTTCACCCAGACTACCGTGTGGTCAAGACCTTTTTCCAATATCACTCAAAATGCTTATTGAGTTATTGTATATTGACTCAAGTTAACATTAATTGCAGTCATATCATTTGCTTTGCATGCATTTTGTTCGTTTTCAATAATAACACCACTCAAAATCCAAAGAATGAAAACCTTGAAGTTCCAGCCCAGTGGGTATTACACTTTTTGAGAAAACAGTGAAAAACCATGCACAACCTTTTGATCAGCAAACACGATTTTGTCAGTAGCACTCGTTATTCCAAAAATCAGTCAATTGGCTGATCGTTGGAAATCACCTACAATCTTGATTCTCTAATTCTGAATGACAGCAAGCCAGACGGAATAATTTCACGATCTTTAATCCAAGTAAGCTTTTTATATTCGGTAGGTTGGATAAATGCAAATGATCATATATGTCTTTAAAAGTAACCGTTTAATGACAACAATCCCTTTAAAGTTGGGACTGAAATAAACAATTTATAAGAATATTGATACTCAAATTGGGCTCAAAAGATTTTAGACCCCCGAAAAAAATATTAACTGAAGTTCAACAAGTATATCGATAGAACTGATGATGGCACTCTAGTTGTAAAACTAACTCCATTGGTCGTATATGAAAGTTTCAACAATTGACAAAAATAATGAGGCTTTGACAACCCCGGAAAAGCTCTTGACCATTAACACTGTCCATTATTACTTGACGCCCGTTGACGGTCATCAGTCCTGTAGCTGTTTTTCTTGACCTTGGCCATCATTGTTACGTCTTCCGGCGGGACTTCCAGCTGGTCTCATTTCCTTTTCATTCAAAGCATCTCTTGGGTCACCACGAGGTCAAGTGGCCCAGTGCGGCCCGGCCTTTTGCATGAGTAGATGGTCCGTGATTAATACAAGTGAACACAGTGGTTCAGGTGAGTCTTCCAATCATTAGGCCCCGCCCAAGAAATTTTGACCAATCACAGCCGTGATTGATGTTCGACCTGCGTGCACAAAAGACCGGCAGTTACGCGGTACGCGCGCGCGTACGAGACGCGCACGGCTGGGCGCGCATGTAGTGTGCATTTTGGGAGGTGCCTAGCCTGTGATGTTGCCCGCGGCCGCGTGAGTGGGAGGTGCCTATTACATCAGTCGATCATTGTGGGCGGATCTAGGCCTCGACAAGGGGTATAGACACACTGCCTTGAAATTGGACGAAGGGGCGATTTCACTGACCCCATGGATTTGATTTCTGTACATGCAAGTAGCTTCGGTATCGACCGCCACAAAACATTAAATTTTGCAAACATCAAAAAACGAAATGATCGAATTATCGCCCAAAAAAAATGGACTGTTAAGGAATAACAGTCTAAAGCATCCAGTAAAATCGTGGCTCGACATTTTCAAGAAAAATTGTGATTTTTTTTCCAACATTACCAGCACGGTGTCGTAAAGTTGGTACATTGATCATGTCTTAACTTTTTATTAATGGGGCTTGCGGTCGCTCCCGAAGTTAATTGAACCTGATGGGGAGTAATAAATAACCGTCTGATATTTTCTACACAAACCCCCGGTGTAGGGGGTTTTGCGAAGAAGTTTTCAGATACCAACTTTCACGACAATGTGTTAGTAATGATTTGTCGCGCTTCAAACACTATATTGTTATGGTCAACATTGCTTCATTGTTTGACAGTTTCTTATGAAATTAAATCTCGTAATGTTTTAAATATGATGACAAATCACTAGAAAAAAAGGAAATCTAAAACATTTTGTATTTCTGGAGTTGTTGCCACCCAAACAAGTTTTGTGGTGGATCGAGACCACTATTTATGTGGCACGCCCTCTATTTTTTTTATTGGTGCGGACGCTGCACTATTGAATAAAAAGAACAACTCAGTTTCCGATCAATAACTCAAGAATTACAAAATGTATTAAACTGAGATTTTGAGCAATTAATTTCCACGATGTGTAAATGTTTTAAATTGAATTTTCGTCTAGTGATTTGTCATTATGTTAAACAATACGAGATTTAATTTCATAAGAAACCGTCAAACAATGAAGCAATATTGACCGTAACAATACAGTGTTTTAAGCGCGACAAATGCAATCCGAATGCAAATCAATGTGTATTTTTCGCGTGTACAACACTACATTGTTACGATCATATTATTTTTATCATTGGGCTGTTTCTCATGATATTCAATAGGCCTCTGTTACACATCGTGGAAATTAATTGCTCAAAATTTCAGTTTAATACATCTTGTATTTCTTGAGTTATTGATCGGAAATCCCCCCAAACAAGTTTTGTGGTGGATAATTATCGAGACCACTATTTATGTGGCGCGCCCTCTATTTTTTATTGGCGCGGACGCTGCACTATTGAACAAAAATAACAACTCAGTTTCCGATCTATAACTCAAGAAATACAAGATGTATTAAACTGAAATTGTGAGCAATTAATTTCCACAATGTGTAACAGAGGCCTATTGAATATCATGAGAAACAGCCCAACGATAAAAATAATATGATCGTAACAATGTAGTGTTGTACACGCGAAAAAATACACATTGATTTTCATTCGGATTGCCCATAACCAGCACGTTGTCGTAAAAGTTGGTACCTTGATCCGTTCTTAACTTTTTCTTTCAAATCGCGGGGCTTGCGGTCGCTGCCGAAGTTAATTGAACGTGATGGGGAGTAATAACTAACCGTCTGATATTTTCTACACAAACCCCTGGGTTTTGCATAGACATTTTCAGTTACCAACTTTTACGACAATGTGTTAGTAATGAATGATTGTCGGCCGGCATATTTAGTTATTCCACATTTTTTTTGCAATGGATTACACAACTCTGCATGTGAAGAGTTAGAAGCCTGCTAGACTGATCATCTGACCTTACAAAGTCTATAAATTGCTCCGTTTCATCTTAAGTGGGGTTAGGGAACCAAACTACAAGAACAGTTTTTTTTGGGGGGGGGGGGGGTTCCAGCATCTACAAGCCCGGAACGGGAAACAAGTCAGTTTAACAATTAACATACTAATCCTCCAAATCCATTTAGCCTATTTCTCAAAATTGCAGCAAAATCAAATGTACATTTCCTTTTAGGGGGAATTCCCTCCCCCTTTTTCAGGCTAAAACCCTCGACTTATTACCGGGTGATGTTCTTTTTAATACTAGTAAGTCAATACCCTTGTTTTCCCTTGTGATTGATCGTTATTTACTTTTTTCCGACTAACTGAGCAAAATGAAGCCATTAATTCGGTTTTTGCTTGATCTTTAAATTTAATGCTTAACGGGAAGTGCGCCCTCAACGTCTTGGTGACTAAAAACTTGAAAAGATGGCGGCGGACAGCGGCACGTCGAAGGATGGAACGAGCGAAAATGAGGCCCATTTTTCCTCCTTTATGCAAGAGGTTAGTTAAAACTGACAACCAGTTGGAGGGTTATTCTAACATTTTACTTTTTGTTTGAACATTTTGCGACCAGAAGAATGTTGGGCCACGAAAAGACGCTGTTGAACTGTGACAGTCGGACAGTGTCAACATGACGAATTCACACATTTCCAATGCATTGCCAATGCATTGTCAACAACATGTGGCCGATGCATTTCCAAGGGGGGGGGGGCAGTGCCATTGGCGGCGATTGTGTAGTTGTGGGTCCTGTTCATAAATGCATTTGTAGGGTAATCTTTATCATTAGGACACCTATTTTTTTAATGAAAAAATGGAAACATGAGAAAGATGTCAACATTTATTGAAAAATTGGATATTAATTATTATTATTGGACAACAAAATTCAAAAACAATCCAGAGGAAACAAGCTGAGAGTGGGACATCAAGTCATCATACATGTAGAATAGGCCTACAAGTACAACCGAATGTAAAAGGATTTGCGATTTTTTTAGGGGAACCTGGTGTGTGGCCAGAGGTACAACGCAGCAGTACTGCGGCCACACTATTGGGGCTACTCGCACACTGGGACCTTTAGTGATCAAAACGATGCAAAAGAAGATCAGGCCAAATTTACTCACTCTTAGCATAGTTTAACCAGCAAATTCCTCCAAAACTGTAACTGGGTAAAAGAAAAGGTCCTCAGTATTTCACCAACCAAGTTTGAAGACTCAATTCAATTTTTAAAGGAGACTTTTCTTCAATATTTGGCAGTGGCTTGCACAAGAGAGGGAAGTCAAGTGATTTCAAAATGATGCTTAAGACTAGACTTCTACATGTCCATCCATGGTCCAACTGTTTGACAAGACTGACTTCTTCATTCAATTTCATTAGTCTGGTTCCTTACTAAGGAGAAATGTGTTGAAATAGTGACCTAGTACCAAACATCTTAGATATTTCTTTTGGCACTGTCAGCTGACAGTTCATTGATGCAGTACTGAAGCGTTGTTGGACTGGTTGTTTCAGATGCGAGTCTATTTTCTTGTATTGCATGTTTTCAATACCTTAAGTTTTGGGACTCTCATACACAGTATTGAGAGTCCCAAATTTTTTGACTAGGCTACTCATAGAGGAGCTCATACAGTACCTTTTCCAAAACACGTTTATCTAAAAATCTTCATCCATCTGGCCAAGAAATGACGATCAGTCTTCAGCCCCCACAAATATTGTCCCGAAAAATGTGTCTACATGGGATTTCAAAATGTTAGACGTGTTGTAATGTATGCATTATGCGGGCGTGCTTGGGCAAGATGAATATGCATTAGTTCATGACCTCGTGTTTGTATGGCCGGCTGCGCCACTCGCCCAACAACACGAGGTCTTGAACTGTACAATGCATTCATAATCTTGCACACACCCGCACATACATGTACATGCATGTATACATAAACAACGCGCAAACCAGTCCGCCATTTTGAAATCCCATGGAGGAACAATTTTGAGATTATATTTGCAGGAGCTGAAGACTGGCGCACAAAAATTGCAATTTCTACCCCAAGAAACTGTTCAAAATTACCAAAAAGTGTCATTAGAATTGAGAGAAGTCTGCTTAAAGGGAATATACATCATTTGCTTTTGCTGTAATTTTCAGAAATGGATGGAATTGGGGGGTTGGAAATATATAGCAAATATAGTTACACTGACTTTTTTGAGGTTTTGGGTTCGAAAATGCTATAAAAATCAAGAAAAACAATCATTTTCCTGTAGTCTGGTTCCCTGACTCCATATAAGAAGAAACAGAGCAGTTTACATACATTGGGGAATTGTAAGGTCAGGGAAACAACCAGTCTAGCTGGCTTGTACCCGTTCATAGGTGTGTAATTGATTGCAAACAAGTGTGATGGTCAATTGGGGCCAGTATTTGAAAAAAAAGCCAGTTTTTTCCAACGCTGGTCAGCCGATTCAGCGTTGGAAATTGATTCAAAAATACCACTTTTCTTGAAAATGACAGTATACCAGGTGCCATGATTTTACAGGATGCTTTACACTGTCATTCACTAACAGTCCAGCAAGGTATTTCAAAATGATTTGGTAGTTTTATTTTTGGATGTTTGCAAATGTTGTATTTTCCCTTTAAGCTATTAAAGTAATCGGGGGCGTGGGAGTGCGTGGGCTGTATGTGTGTTCTTCTGACAAACCCCCTTTGAACCTATTTTTGAATTTTATTATTTTCCTTTCGCTTTCGGTTTATTTTGATGAGGAAATTCCTTCACCAAAACTACGAACAAACAAGCCGACCATGCTGAAAAACCATCAAGCCCATCAAGAAACAGGAACCTGAATGTGATATTTGAAAGAAAAACACTGCTCTTCCTGCTTGTCTTGTGGAAAAAAAAATGATTGCATCACCTTTTTAAACACAGTGGCTAAGGCCTAACAAGCATTCTGTTTATTGAATTCATAACTTGTTGGCTTTTTATTCATACATGTACATGTATTTAACGCTGTTGTCTAAGATCAAACAAAAACGATCGTGTGATTGTATACAAATATTCAAACATCCCATAATTAGTACATGTATACATGTGCATGTATTGCGAACAATTTTGTAAACATTCAAAACCAATACCATGTTATTGTGCTTACAGCACTGGGCATGCTGGGTAAAGTTATTTACAAATGTATGTACAAATCGCGTAAGCATAGAATGCTCGGTAGTTATTCTCATAACATGCTTACAAAAACTCTAGGCTATACTCTGAATTCTCTTTGACTTCAGATACACATGTTTTCTGCAAAAACAATTCTTGAATTCTTTTCCTGATCATTTTTTTTCTGACTATATTTGCTCAAGATTTTGCGCAATATACTTGAGCTTTCTTAACCAGTTCGCTCCGGGATTACTTTGACAAGAATGAAAGAGGCGCGGGATTACTTTTCACCCGACCTCAAGCCAGGCGGCTTGAAGCCATCACCCTTGGGCAGCACACTCATATATTTGCGAGCGGGACGCTGACAGATATTTTCGGTTTCGCTCCCTGCATGTTTATCTGTCATCCGTTCCGAATACCGCAAAACCTAGGGTATACATGTCATCCGGCGCAAACTGGTTAAGGGGCTAGGATGTTGCTGCATGCTACAGAGACCATAAGAATCCATTTTTTAAACAATAACTAATAAGTGTATGCATGTACATGTACACGTTTTATAAGTGTACCATTATTTTACACTTCCAGCTGGTTACATGACATTTCAAAGCAAAATATCACAGTTTAATAAGCATACATTTTTTTACGCTGTAAGTTCAGAATTTCTGTACAAAAAATAATTGCATAATATATCGTCATGTGGATTACATAGTACATTGTACATACTGTATGTATACTACACATGCATTCTAAGTATTACATTAAACCTCCTATGCAAACATGCATTCTGTGCCAAAATGTCTGTTCAGTCAAAATCAATCAAGTGACTGTTTTTAACAGTTACAATGTAGGAGCCCCCAGCCTACATAAAGCAGGACTGACTGGCTGTGACTGTTTATAACTTGATACAGCTATGCTTTGACTGTAGGGGATTGATAAGACAGCTGTGCCTACCGCTTGCCTGCTTTTGTCTGTTGACTGAATTTGACTAGTCACAGTGCTTGCTTGAAATATGATTTGACTGTTGGTGACTAGCCTGACCAAAAGGCATGACAGGGGATGACTGTCTGTGACTGTTCAAATACAAAGTTGTAATGACTCGAGTCAGTGACTCGACTCAAGTCTGACTCAACTTCACAGTTTTTTGTGACTCGACTCAACTCGAGTCACTGTGGGTAAATGACTTGACTCGACTCGAGTCACTGCGAGCAAATGACTCCACTCAACTTGAGTCCCTCATCAGAAGACTCGACTCGACTCGATTCAAGGCTAATAAGACTCAAGTCCCAAAAAATACAAGCAAAACTTTACGGAAAATATTTGCAATGACTTACGCTGCGAAATGTATGTTCACGTCACTTTGCAATTTGCAAAAAATACATTAAGTAACACTTAATAAAATTTATTCAATTACTTGATTTAATCCGTTTGGGTAGTTGACAGAGTATAACGTCAACAGGTCTTTACCCAATTAAAATTGTCATCTGATATTTTCTAATTATCGAGATGATAGTAAACAAAAGACAATTGACCAAGCAACAAAGGTCAATAATCTTATAGGCCTAAATCAGATTAAATGATGTATTCATTCTGTGTATTAAAAAGCTAAAGCAAAAGTTGTGATAAGTTTAATTTATTAATATAGTAAAGTTTAGTTTATACAATAATCAAAAGGAGTCTTTCATCCCAAAGTCATGCTGTAATTCAAATTTACCTATTTAGTATTAAATGACCAAGAAAGACATAAATACAGCATGGTACAGCGGCCACTTGTTGTGTACAAACGTACGTGTCACAGACTCGAACCTTGTACCGTACCATCCTGGAACCAGAGTTTACACACATTTTCTAATTCATGGTTTTATCCTTGACTTTGGGCAATTTGTTATTAACCCTAACTCCCCAGGCCTTTTTGCTAGGATGTAGCCTCAATCCTGCAATACCCTCCAATTGGCCTCATGGAAAAATAACATAAAGTCTCAATCCTGCAAATTCCTCCATTATTTCTTGAATATGGTCCATGGAGAGGTCACCACTGCCTGAATCCTGCAAAATCCTGCCGGCTATGACTGTCAATAGGCCGAGGCAGAGGCAGTGACCTGGAGCAGTGCGGAGGATTTCAAGTATAATCAAGGACTAAATTTATGCACGGCTGAGCATGAACAACACAAGGTCCGGCCCAAGACCTTGGCACAGTGCGTTCTCCGAAATCAGCAACACACTTTTGCCATTTAACCTCAATCCTGCAAAATCCTCCAATTTGCAAAAAGGATTTTGGAGGATTTGGGATGGTTAGGTTAAGCTCTTGGATTCAAACGCTGGCTCAATGTGCCCTCATTTAAAAATTAAATTGATACATGCCCACTCTTAAGAACC